GCTGGTATGTTCACCCCACTCCTCCTGGTTCCATCCTCTCAGTAGCATGTTGTTTAAAATCCATATACTTGTGAATTATTCAGTTTTCTTGTAATTGATTTCAAGTTTTATACCATTATGGTCAGAAAAGATGCTTGATATGATTTCAATCTTCTTAATTTATTAAGACTTCTTTTGCAGCCCAACATATGACCTATCCTAGAGAATGTTCCATGTGCACTTAAGAATGTATATAGTGAAACCTCAGTTCTCGAATGTCTCCCATTTCAAACCATTTGCTTCTCAACCTAACAACCCTTTCATACTGATACCTGTATGATCAGTCACGCTTCTCTCAGGTGACAAATAAAGGAGATAATGCACGAATTTGCGTTTACCTCTATTAACATCTCAAGAAATTGTGCTGTGAATATTTTCATACTTTTTTGCTTTTGTTGCTGCTTATTATCATTAAATTTTTATTTTTTACTGCACATTTCATTCCCTATTTATTAAATTTTCACTTACAGTTTATGTCATTTTTGTTTTTAAAATGTTTATTTATAGATTACACAGTACATTAGACATGCACTGTATATAAGAAAAGTTAAGCCCTGGCCGGTTTGGCTCGGCGGTTAGAGTGTTGACCCACAGACCAATGAATCTCGGGTTTGATTCCAGCCAAGGGCACGTACCTCAGTTGCAGTTTGTCCCCAGCCCTGGTGGGGTTGTGTGGGAGGCAACCAGTCGATGTGGCTCTATCACTTCGATGTTTCTCTCTCTGTCTTTCTCTCCCTCCCTCTTTCCCCCCCTCCCTCCCTTCTACTCTATCTGATAATAAGTAGAAAAAAGTCCTCGAGTAAGGAATTAAAAAAAACAAAGTTAAAACAAGGAATCGCTTGGGGTGGTTCTGGAACAGATTAATTCAATTTATATTATTTCTGATGGGAAAAAAATGATTTGGTTTTTGCCCAGAACATATTAAGTTCGAGAACTGAGTTGCCTTTGGTTGGAATATTCTGCATATCTCTTAAAGTAAATCAGGTCTAACATGGTATTTAAGGCCAATGATGATTTTCATACTGATTTTTCTGTCACTGGTTCTCAACCTTCCTAATGCCACGACCCTTTAATACAGTTCCTCATGTGTTGGTGACCCCCAACCATAAAATTATTTTTGTTGCTATGTCATAACTGTAATTTTGCTACTGTTATGTCTTAGGCGACCCCTGTGAAAGGGTCGTTCAATCCCCAAAGGGGCTGCAACCCACAGGTTGAGAACCACTGGTCTAGATAATCCATTGATTGATGAAAGCAGGGTATTAAAGTCTGCTATTATTATTATTATATTGCTGTCTATTTCTCCCTTTAGGTCTGTTAATATTGCTTTATATATCTAGGTGCTCCTATGTTGGGTGCATAAATATTTATAAATGTTGTACTTCTAGTTGGAATGACCTCTTTATCATTATGTAATGCCCTTCTTTGTCTCTTATTAGTCTTTGTTTTAAAGTCTATTTGCCTGATATAAACATAGTTACTCCAACCTTGCTTTGGTTATATTTGCATGGAATCTCTTTTTCCATCCTTTCACTTTCAGTCTGTGTGTATTTGTACATCTAAAATGAGTCTCTTATAGACCTCACATAGATTAGTCTTTTATTTATTTAATCCATTTAGCCACTGTATGTCTTTTAGTTGGAGAATTTAATCAATTCACAACTAAAGTAATTATTGATAAATATCTACTTATTGCTATTTTGTTCATTGTTGTTTTTTTAAATTTTTTATTTCTTTATTGATTTTAGAGAAAGAGGAAAGGAGGAAGGGAGGGAGAGGGAGGGAGGGAGGGAGAGAAAGAAACATCAATGAGAGAGAACATTGGCCACTTCCTGCATGCCCCTAGTGGGGACTGGGTCCACAACCTGGGCATGTGCCCAGACCAGGAATCGAATTGGCAACCTTTTGGTGTATGGGTCGATGCTCAACCACTGAGCCACACTGGGTGGGCTTGTTCATGGTTTTGTTTGTTTGTTTGTTTTTTTATCCTCACCTGAGGACATTTTTCCATTTTTTGTTCAGATAGAGGGGAAGGAAGACAGAGAGAGAAACATTGACATGAAAGGGACACATCGAGTGGCTGCCACCTGCATGACCAACCAGGGCCGGGGACAAACTGCAACTGAGGTGCGCGCCCTTAGTGGGAACTGAATGTGGATCTCTGGACCGCAGGCTGATGTTCTCTAACCACTGAGCTAAACAGCCAGGGCAATTCATGGTTTTTTAATTTCTTTGTTATTTATTTCTTTTTAGCTCTCTTCCTTTGTGATTTGATGATTTTCTGTAGTGGTATGCTTAGATTCCTTTCTCTTTATCATTTGTGTATCGGCTATAGGTTTTTGTTTATATAAACAACTTATATTTTAATAGTCTACTTTAAATTCATAACAACTAAAGTCAAACATATTTTATTTATTTATTTTATTTTTAATTTATTTATTTTTGTTACAGATGTTTCTCCTTTTAGTCTAACATATTTTAAAGCTTACATATTACTTCCCACAACCCGCCTTGTTTTGTTTATGTTGTTACAATTTACATCTTTATATTATGTATCCAATAACAAATTACTATTATAGTTATTTTTAATATTTTTTTATCTCTTTAATGTATTTCCGAAATATTATACCCTCAACATACTATATTTTTGTAATCAGAAAAAGACGGTAAATTTTATTTTTATAATGACAATTGTACAGTCAATGCATATAGCCTGAAAAACAACACTAGGGATCTTTTTCATCAAATTGTAAACAAACATACAAACTCTCCTATAAAAAATCCTGCAATTTAAGATTTCTTGGTCGTAAGACATAACCAAGTTATTTCCACTGTTATGATAACAAAGTATAAGTGAGTCACATTTATTTAGATCTATATTTATCAACACCAAGGATAGTACAATTTATTTAAGTTTGTTCTCTCACAAATATTACAAAAAAATTTGCTTTACCGCCCTGGCCGGTTTGGCTCAGCGGTTAGAGCGTTGGCCTGCGGTCTGGAGAGACCCGGGTTCGGTTCCCGCTAAGGTCATGTACCTCGGTTGCAGTTTGTCCCCGGCCTTGGTTGGGTTGTGTGGGTGGCAACCACTCGATGTGTCCCTTTCACGTCGATGTCTCTCTCTCTCTCTCTCTCTTTCTCTCCCTCCCACTCTATCTAAATAAAATATCGAAAAATGTCCTCGGGTGAGGATAAATAAAATTTAAAAAAAAAATTTGCTTTACCTCATTATCTCTAATTTAAAGTAGAAAAGTAGCCCTGGCCAGTTTGGCTCAGCAGTTAGAGCGTCGGCCTGCGGTCCAGAGAGACCTGGGTTCGGTTCCCGCTAAGGGCACGTACCTCGGTTGCAGTTTGTCCCCGGCCCTGGTCGGTTGTGTGGGTGGCAGCCACTCGATGTGTTCCTTTCACATCGATGTTTCTCTCTCTCTCTCTGTTCCTCTCTCTCCCTCCCACTGTACCTGAACAAAAGAAGAAAAAATGTCCTCGAGTGAGGATAAAAAAATAAATAAATAAAGTAGAAAAGTATATAATAGATATATTTCCCAAGACTGCAATCTAATTTGTAATGAAAATCATGCCTCTAGACTTGTATTGTCTTAACAGGGTAGCTACTAGCCACATGTGATTATTTAAATGCAAACTTATTTAGCCCAGCCAGTGTGGCTTAGTGGACTGAGCATCATCCCATGGACTGTGAGGTCCAGTTTGATTCCAGGTTGTGGGCTTGATCCCCAGTTGGGGGCATGCAGGAGGCAGCTTATCAATGTTTCTCTCTCACATCGATGTTTCTCTCTCTCTAAAAAAGCAATAAAAACATATTAAAAAATAAATAAATGCAAACTTATTTAAATGAAATAAAATTTAACATTTAGTTCAACATTTCAAGTGCTCAAAAGTCATGCAGACACAGAACATTTCTATCATTGTAGAAAAGTTTTACTAGCCTGTGCTACCCTAGACCTTTCCCATGGAACCACAATCACTCTTAAAACACAGTTTCTGACTTAGCACTTCATAATTCAAAATATTTGTAAGTGCCTTGGCTAAATGGCTAAGTTGGTTGGAGCGTCATCCCATATACCAAAAGGCTGCAGGTTCAATTCCCCATCAGAGTGTATACAGGAGGCAACCGATTGATATTTTTCTCTCATACTGATATCTATCTGTCTCTCTCTCTCCCCCCTGCTTCCTCTCTAAAAAAAATCAATAAAACATATCCTTGAGTGTGGATTTAAAAAAAAATGTGTAATAAAAATATTTAAAAGTGATTATGACTACCTGGCTGGTGTGGCTCAATGGCTGAGTGTCAACCCATGCACCAAGAGGTTGCCAGTTTGTCAGGGCATATGCCCAGGTTGTGGGCCTGATCCCCAGTGGGGACATGTAGAAGGTGGCCAGTCATTCTCTCTATCGATTTTTCTATATCTCTCTCCCTCTCCCCTCCTCTCTCTCTAAAATCAATAAAGAAAAATAAAAGTGATTATGACAGACTATTTAAAAAGTTAAAGATGACAAATGTATGCCTAAAACTCTAGTAGTCTCATTCATTTAAAATTATATACAGGCAGTCACATCTTCTGAAGTTGCTTTGTAAAAACTCTTCAACAGTGAAGGAATTTTATTTTATGAACTATAATAAAAAGCTAGAAAACCCAGAAAAAAAAATAAGAAGCCACTTCACAGAAACTGTACAGTTCATATTTCTTTCTGAGCAGTACAATCAGCTAATAAATACTTTCTAATTAAGTATTAAAATATACAATGATATCTAACAAGATCATTAATACAATTTCACTATCACCAAGGGGCACAATATGTAAAACTACCCCACGGGCAGAGTACTAATATTAAACAGCATCTCTACATTTACACCCAGTTTCTTAAGAAATTAATTACAACCGACCAGTAAGAAGAATCAAGGGTAAAGGAATAAAGTTTAAGAGACTTAAAGATATTTTCAGTGGACCTTAACTTTTATTCAGTTTCTTCTTAAGGTGAAGAAAACTCTTTGCAAAAGTCCCAGGGAAATATGAGAACTTTTGCTTCACCCTTTGCAAGTAAAAAGGATAGATCATTCCACTGCTGACATATTAAAAAAAAAAAAAAAAAAAGGATACTTTAAATGGAAGAAACATTTTATAAACCTCAACTGAGACCAACAGATCAGAAGAGAATGATATTAAGATAGTCTCAAGACCTCTGTTTACTGATGTTATTAAATTTAAATATGACATAAAGCCTGAAGGCAATGGTTAATGTAGGAATTCTAATAAAAGCAAAATATTTAAATATTATTTTGGAAAGATATTAGACTGCAAGATAGAAACAGTTTGGTTGTACTAGAAATTATAATATTCATCTACTGTGTATGATGAAGCTTTATTTTTATTTTTATCTCAATTTCCCTATCTACTTGTTTTAGAAAACTACTAACAAACCCAGGTTGATGATTTATCAAAATTACACATGGATTTTACTATTAACATGTTCTTTTCAATCCTAGAATGGTTTAAGTAAATATTCCCAATATTTCCCACTTTTAAATGAAGTTTAATGGAATATTCTTGTAAGAAGAAAAAAAGGAAAGGTACTGGGGCTGATGGGGAGGCAGGAAGCTTGAAATCAAGAGCAAGATGTTTATCATCTTTGATTGCAGTGACAGTTCAATTACCCACCTGGTTTACTTACAGTGGGGATGTTAGTAAAGTTATGATAGTCCACTGCCTTAAACATAATTCTGTTTATGGACAACAGAATAAAACGTGTGCACAACATCAAAACACTCCATACAATATGGCATGCAGCCTGACATCTAATTCTCATACCTAATTTAAGGTCCTAAGTATCCTAGGTAGAGGGAAGTAATTCATGAATGCTTTAGAGATCTTCCATAGATGGTAAATCTAGTAATTATAGACATATTCTAGGTGTTTAACAAATACGCATTCATATTAGACATAAATATTTCAAACAATACCAGAGCAGAAAATTATTTTAGACCTAATTTAACAGAGCAAATATACCAACCTAAAATATATAAAAATTAAGAGGTCACCAAAATGAAAACTTTAATAAATTTATTGCTCCCCTTAGTAACTAACACAAAAAACAAAAAACCTATAATTTGGCACAGAAATTGAGGTAAGACATTGATTAAATCTTTCTACACAGTAATAAAATATAATGCTTACCTAATTCAATACATGTTATTCCAAGAGACCATACATCTACTTTGCCATCATACTGTCCTTCATCCATGGCTAAAATTACTTCTGGGGCCATCCTAAAACAGAAAATATAATTTAAGGTAAAATAAATATATATATTGTTCATTAAAATATAATGACTATCTACATAGAGAACACCTGTGTAAACTGCAGACAATATATCTGGACATAAGAATTTTTATAATGGGAAATGAATGCATTATAGGTTGTAAGGTAAATATTTACCATTGCACAGATAGTATGAGACTCATCTGCACTATCAGTCATGATCATATAACAGAATCCTAAAGGAAGGATGTCAGAGAGCAGAGTTGTATTCTGCATCTGTTCAAGTTCGCAGATCTAACAATGTATATCCTTTAGGCCAGTGGTGGTCTCAGGATCCCATTACAAATGTCTAATTTTTGCTAGAAAGATCGAATTCCATCATTGGCAATGAATACCAGCAGTTATTTTTCTTGACGTTACAAGCTCACTCCAGTTATTTCAGAAAATATTTGCCACAATAACCAACACTAAATTACCACAGTTTGTCAGTCTTTCTTTCAAATAAAAATAGTGTTCTGGCCCTGGCCGGTTTGGCTCAGCGGTTAGAGCGTTGGCCTGTGGTCCAGAGAGACCCAGGTTCAGTTCCTGCTAGGGGCACGTACCTCAGTTGCAGTTTGTCCCTGGCCCTGGTTGGGTCATGTGGGTGGCAACCACTCAATGTGTCCCTTTCACATCAATGTTTCTCTCTCTCTCCTTCCCACTCTATCTGAACAAAAAATGGAAAAATGTCCTCAGGTGAGGATAAAAAAAAAATAGTGTTCTGTGATAAAAAGTGTCTAGGGATGCTCACAACTAAAATAATCAGACAATTATCAACCTTACAGGTGTCTTGGTTATAAAATAAAACATTAATTCATATCTTCAAATTGAGTCTAATATTTTTTAACCTTATACTTCATTTGCATTTGGAGTTAAGCACAGATACTTAAAACATTTGCTGACTTCAATGAGATTGTCACCAAGCATGTGTGTGTGTGTGTGTGTGTACACACATGCACAAAGGCATATAAATATGTGCCTAGTTCCTGTGTTCCAAATACACTACAGAGAAATTAACAAATATGTAAATAAAGTAAACTTTCAATTGTCAATAGCAGGCTGTTTCCAATGTGTTAAGATGTTAAAGTAAGTTTGGGAAATTACTAAGTTAAACAAAATTAAACAGTAATTTGTTTTTTCTTACAGCACTTTCCAAGGCCTTTTAAACATCTAATATTCATCATTGATTTCTAAAGAGGAGAAACATTAAGAAATATTTGTTCACAGAATCCTTTTCTTTCTTTTACAGAAGGAAGGGAGACTCTATTTAAAGTAGGACCCACATAAAAAAATTTGGGGGCTCAGCTGGTGTGGCTCAGTGGATTGAGCATCAATCATCCTATGGACTGAAAGGTCCAGGTTCAATTCCCGATCAGGGCACATACCCTGGTTTTGGGCTCGATCCCCAGCATAGGTTGTGCAGGAGGCAAACGATCAATGTTTCTCTCTCATATCCATGTTTTTATCTCTCTCTAAAAAAATCAGTAAAAATATATTTAAAAAAATTTTTTTGGTCTTCTAGAGCAGTGGTCTTCAAACTTTTTTATTCATTTACCTCCAATGAATTTATAAAACCTATGTATCCCCTTGAACATTTGAGTTTATATCTTAATTTTAAAAATTTGATAGTTGCAAAAGACATAATGCACAGCATAAACACGCACATATAGTATACTGTATGTGTGCTTTAAAGATATTTCAAACTTGGAGCTGCAGAATTAGCTCATTCAATTTATCAAAACCACTGCCATGTAACTTCATTAGCAAAGCCAGTCTTCATGGTCATTTCAATCAGTCAAATCATAATAATTTCTGTCAGAAAAAAAATCTGACTTCATTTTTCAGTACAAATAACATATTAATGTGTCCCCATGACAACCATCTTGGTTATGAATTCTACATTAGAAAAAAAGAAGAGAGAGAAGATAATTAGAGAGAAAGAAAAAGCAAGGAGTAAAAGGAATGGGAAGGGAGATGACAGGAAAGGCATTACCAAGAGTTTGTGTCCTCAATATTTCTCATAGATGCTATATATCTAAAATTGTCCCTCTGGTGTTGCTCTGAGGTTTTTATATCCCAGAGCAATGGGTCATTATAATATTCAGGATGTACAAGAAGCCTTTCTTTTAAAGTGGGAAAAAGATTTGAAAGGTCTGTGGGGAAAAGATGTAATGGACCTAAGACAACACTCTTAGCATACACAGAGAAAGAAGACACAAATGGATAAAAATGGAAGATCTAGAAAATTATTCCCTTCAAATTTGCTGACATTAATACTAAATTATTTATGATTAAAATTACATGTTTAAAATTTACTTCAAAATAACTGAGAAGTGGAGAAGAGGAGAGGAGTGAATACATAGGTTGGGAATGGCCATGGGGTAAGGTTGTTGGGATGAGTAATTGGTATGTAAGGTTTTATTACACCCTTGTTGACTTTTTACTTTATTATTACTTTTTAATTTTGGAGAGAGACAGAATCATCCATTTAATTTTCCATCTATTTATGCATTTATTGGTTGACTCATGTATATGCCTAATTGGGGATGGAACCTGAAACCCTGGCACCTGGGATGATGCTCTAACCAACTGAGCTATTCAGCCAGGGCACTCTTGTTGACTTTCATGTGTATCTGAAACACATATAAAAAATCCCCCAAACTACAAATTAGCTACCAGTCTTGAGGTACTCTCAGTCTGAGGATCACTGATACGGAGTAAATATAAATCTAAAAAAACCCACAAGTTTCCACTTAAGCTTTTCTGTCTACTCACTACTTCAATTTTTATTGAAATTTTTCACTCCCACACCCAACATATGATGCAGACAATAATATGAAAGAAAATGTGGACAATGAGAAAAAAAACAGGAGATGCAAAGGTAGCATTCCAAATCTGTATTTGAAACTAACTATAATGCTTAAAAATGTCCATAATAACATTATATTTTCAGGAAAAGACATCTGAAAAAATTACAACCACACATTACCTATTTCAATACCAGACAGGATTATTCTTACCAATATGGCGTTCCCACAAAAGAATTGGCAGGAGATGCCATGGAAGCAGATCCAAAGTCAGCAAGTTTCACCTGGCCTGGTTCTGTCAGAAGAATATTTCCTGCTTTGATATCTCTGGGTTTAAGGAACACAGAAAATTATTTCTTTTTCTTTCATTAGGTTGTGGTGAAAATGATTACAAAAATCAAATAAAAATTTATAAAGTATGGAAGGAGAAAGCAAAATAATTAAGTTCTAGGATAATCTCTCAATTGGGAGAGTAAGAATTAAGATCCAAATTAGAAAACAAGAAATACAAAATTCATATAAATATACAGAAACAATTTTCTAAAAGAGAAGACAAAATAGCAATAAACACAAAAGACAGAAAATAAGCAATCGGAGCATATAGTCTATATTTGAGTTCCTATTTACTGGCACAAATAATGGTTTTAAAACTAGAATTTAATTAGCTGACAGTTTCTTCATAAATATATGATTTCTGAGTACTCCACTTAATTAAAAAATAAAGAACTTTATGTCCAATTTTTCATTATTTAATTAAAAAATTTTAAATTTAAGCATAGTTAATATACAATCTTCTATTGGTTTATTAGTTTCAGGTGTACAATACAGTGATTTGACATTTTTATACCTTACAACGCGATCACCTGACTAATTCTAGTAATCATCTGTCACTGTGCTAACTTATCACACTGTTACTGACTATATTCCTTTCTTCTTTTCACCCATCCTCCCACCCCCTCCCTTCTGGTAGTCATCCCTTTGATCAATTTCTGTTTTGTTTTGTTTAGATTCCACATATAAGTGAAACCATATAGTATTTCTTTCTCTGTCTGAATTATTTCACTTAGCATAATACCCTCTAGACCCATCCATATTGTTGCAAATATGCCCCCAATTACTAAAAAGGGATTATTCATATAATTTCCAAAGTTTAACATAATTCACCTAACTTAATATGAAATAAAAATTGATGTATAAGGCCCTGGCCGGTTTGGCTCAGCAGCTGGCGCATCGGCCTGCAGGCTAAAGAGTCTCGGGTTTGGTTCCAGCCAAGGGTACATACCTCGGTTGCGGTTGGTCCCTACCCTGGTTGAGGTCATGCAGGTGGCAAACAGGATGTATCTCTTTCACACTGATGTTTCTCTCTCTCTCTCTCTCTCTTTCATTCTCTCTCCCCCCTCCCACTCTGTCTGAAGATAAATGTAAAAATATCCTCGGGTGAAGATTAAAAAAAAAATTGACATATAAAGATAACGTACTATCAATGATCTCAAATTTCCTTTCAAGCTTACTCTTCTAAATCAGCAAACATACTATCCATGGAAACTAAGAAAATGATGGATATTTATATAAAAGGACTGTGTGTCCAATGAGTACCGTATTATATATTTAATCTTTTAAAAAAGGAAAAACTTTATTTCCAAGCACTTGTCAATTCTTACTATAGTACTGTAATGGATACAATACTAAATCTATTGTCCTTCCATTTATTTTTTAAAAATGGAGATGTACTTTGAAGTTGAGAAGACCTTCAGTTCTAATTCCATCTCTTTCATATACTTACTGTCATGTGGATTTCTCTTCAACCTTACTATTCTTACCTAAAAAAGTGGTAACCCATTAATTCGCAATGATTCCACTATATGGTTTAATAAGTATTGCCTGACTTACCTATATAATCGAAAAATGTAAATTTCCTTCTCAACCAGGCAAAACCAATACCAATGCTAAAAATGCATTATTCTGAAATAGTTTAATCTCAAAGTTATTATCTATTATCATGGATTATCAAGGACTACTACTCAAAAGTGTAATGAGTCTTAAGTAGCTTTTATATGTCCATGTTATGGAATCAATGGAACAAATCTGGCATTATCAGTTACCAAGACGACAAAAAAATCTGGATTTAGTTCTAATTTAATCTATGTAGCTTTTTAAACTTGAGGAATTAATCACAAATTGAAGCATCAGTTTCTTCATCTGTAAAATGAAAAAAGACTACACAATCCCTAATGTCCTTTCCATTTTGCAAATTAAATAATTAGATAAATTTCTACCCCAAATCTATAAAGTACACATACTTCAGAAAGCCCAGTAGCATGTGTAGACAAAGATAAAAATTATTCTAAACAAAGAGATCAAGTGTAGTAGTATCTCCTTTTTAAGGCATGGACAACCTAAAAAATACAAGTTTATAAGATTCTAAAATGCTTTTATTTGGCTATAACCAACGAAAATCTCAGGGTTAATGAATTCCAGGGTTGATAAATGGAACAAATATATGCTAATATATGATAATTTTCAACGTACTTACCTATGGATCATAGTATGAGAATGCAAGTAGGCTAATCCTTGGAGAGCACCATGTGTAATTGCTGCTATTTCTAGTTCTTGTAATGGCTTTTTGTGAACTTAAAAATAAGAATTTGAAAATAATTGTTATATAGAACATTTTTGTTTAAAATAATAAATATACATCTGATATATATGGGGCAATTTTAAAACACTAACATGTAGCATCAAAGGATTTGTTTCCCAAGATATAAAATAAGGCTATTGAATGTTATAACTAATATCAATTGTGCCTAGCTATTCAAGTAGAGGACATGTAGTATTTCTCAAAGCTAACAACATTTAACAATTATTTGGTGATAATAAAAACAAAAGTAACAAAAGAGAAGTTTCCCCTTTATTCTTACATATTTTCATTCTGAACAGAAGGAACAGATCAAGCTGAATGACAAAGACTGCAGAAAAATGCTCATTAAGACATGAGAGAGCCTTGGCAGGTTTGACTCAGTGGTAAGAGCATCAATCCCACCCCTCCACAAAAGGGTCACGGATTCGATTCCCCAGTCAAAAGCACATACCTGGGCTGCAGGTTCGATCCCTGGCCCTGGATAGGGTCATGTGGGAGGCAATTGATGTGTCTCTCTCATATTGATGTCTCTCTCTCTCCCTCCCTCCCTCCCTCCTTCCCTCCCTTCCACTTTAAAAAAAAAAAAAAAAAAATCAATGGAAAAATATCCTTGGGTGAGGATTAACAACAACAAAAAGATATAATGAGAGAAAAATTCACCTATTTTATGCTACTACATAACACTAAATGAGGATGTTGCCTACCATGCTGAGAATCTAGAAAAGGTCAAGGTTCTCACTGTTTTGAAAAGTTTTTACATTATTAAAAAAAATCTCTTACTGAATTATCATTTTATTTTGCTAATACTTTTTTTCCTTAATATTTAAAAGAAACCTACCTTCCAATAAATCTGAAGCAGATCCTAAACAATATTCCATTACAAGCTATATGAGAAGAAAAATTATAAAAGCATTAAAATATATTATTGAAAAGAATCTATTTGAGATCAAATAAATTCACCAAGGAGATCAAGAAGGTAGTCTGAAGTAAAAAAACAAACAAACAAAAAACAACAAAAAACTAGTCATTATTTAATACCTTATAAATATGTAGTTAATAATTTGTTAAATTCACTTACAAAGTCAATGACACATGATTAATCTTTTATAATATCAACTTATAATCGTTTGTACAAGATGTGTATTTATATATAATTAATAACTAAAACTATAAAAGAATATACATATTCTGTTACTATTAACCTAGAGTAGCAATACTGATTGTTAGGAAGCAGAAAACTGTCCTCTGGGACTATATTTACAAAGCTTAGGTTACAGTTCAAATGGTTCATTTAAAGCAAACACAGAAGACTTCCTATGTGCCTAGTATTTTATATATAATAACTAAAATAATCCTCACAATCACTTTATGAGATAGGTCCTATTATTTCCTATTTTACAGATGGAAAAAACTTGAGAGACCAGCCCAATGTCACTGCTTTTTCTTTAACTACAGCCTCAAGTTTAAGAGTATTATTACAACCACCATCAAAATCAAACTGGACAAAAATGCACCAAACATTACAATCTAAATCTAACTTCAGTAAACTAAAACGATAATTAGCTGTGGCTTATTAATTATTAAAAATAAAAGATCATTCCTGTTTAAAGAAAATTTAGCCTTTCTCTTAAAAGATAGAGTTATTATGCCTATACACATTATAGGATTACTACCTTATCACCTCAATGGTAAAAATAGAATAAAATTAATCTCCTCTTCTTGTAATAAGACGTCTCAATTCTCTACCTTTAGTATTACTCAACCAAGGAATCACAATCAATTCAAATTTCACCAGGATTCACCAAGTACTTTGTGGTTAAATAGATTATAATACATTATGTCAAAAAGACATAACTTTCATCCTCGAGTAATAGAATTGTTTTCCCAATGTTTGAGAAACCATTTAATAGTTTGTTAAACTACTAAAAAATCTCAGAGAACATTTTATCATGCATATAAAGGTCAGCTAAATCTCTATAGTAAACTTGCAAAAGTTCTTATTGTTTAGAAGTAGGAAGTTCTAGGAAAAGCTGTTATTCCTTTCTCAGTATGAAATAACATCTTGTTGAAGGTGTTTTTGCAAGCTTCCCACAACCATTTTGAAACAATGTTAATTTAATTAGTTCTATGCCTAAACCAATTAAAATGAAGGCAAGGGGAGAGCAGATACCTACCCATGCTGTGTGCTCACGTAAATAGCAGCCTTTATATTCTATACTATTGGGATGTTTTATTCTTTGTAGAAACTTGACTTCTTTAATAATATCCTGCCATTTCTATGGGGAGGGGGGAGGGAATAAAGGAAAGAATTATGAACAGCTGCTTTTCCATAGAAATTTATGTAAGAAAAAAATTAGCAGATTATGGGTTAATGAGAACCTATAACTTTGCTTTATTTTTTTGTAATATTTCAAATAAATGTCAAAAGAATAAATTTAAAAGGAATTACACTCATATAGTATACAATCAAGTACATAACATAAAATTATTTCATTCAAAGTAGGACAAATGTTAAATAAAATTTATCATCCATGATTCTTATTAAAATTTTACAACCACACACTACACATGTTGGTGAAAACTATATACCATATTTAGTGATTTTTCTTCAAAATTCAACTTCCCTTTTCTTATCTGCAGCTTTACTGACATATTTTACATACCATAAAGTTCACCTATTATGTTTTTGGCTTATACTTTCTACCAAATGTTAAAGTTTTTGTTTGTTTTTTAAACTCAAATGAAGTAATTACTCTAAGACATAAATGCATACTTTCTAAAATACTAGTGATCAATCAGTTATTACATAGAAAAATTCACAGAAAAAACAAGTGGTATGAAAACATTTTCCTACATATTTTACCAAGAGCTTTCTTCACTGACACCTACCCAGGCAATACAGATAAACCACTGACTATGAACAATATATTTAGGCTATATTCTAAACAAAGATTCTCTTAAGAAACAACCAGGGAACTCCAAAGGACCCAAAAAGGTCCTTGAATCTACAGACTTAGTAGGTATGAAATTGGAAGCAGAAATCTTATGTTTTTATTCTTGTTTTAATTTTTTAAAGCCTTACCACCAAGTTGGGACATATTTCTAAAATCAGAGACTAGCATAACAGAAAACTTTAAGAAATATTTTGTATTAGATTTTATAAGATCATATATCTCCTATGTTATTTAACAAGTCCTCAACAAAACACAATAAAGTACATTCAGTGTTTTATATAAAATGCATAAGACATAAGACGCTATATTCAGAAAATGTTTAATGGACTTTAAATTTCAAATTTGAGTGCTCTAGGAAGCAAACTCTCAAAACAAAACAAACACCTGAATTCTGCAATGTAAAAAAAACTTTTATGGAAGACATTAATATCAGATATAAAAAAATGATGCCCTAAATAAAACTTTTTTTGGTTATAGCTGTGACTAATTAGACTCTAATACAGCACAAGTCTTCCTGTGAAAGCTAATTCTAAAGTATTGTGATAGAATGGTGAGTAAAATCCGAGTAAACTTGCAAAAATTGGAGGTGGGTTTCTTTTGGAGTTTTAGAAATTTTTTAGGTATCAAAATGTTGGAACACTGATATAATCACATAATAGTATCATCATACCCACAGTATGATCACATAAACAAAATTTAGCATAAAATAAAGAAATTCAAAAAAGGTAGAAGATCAAAATCTTTAAAAATTAAAGACAGATCCAGATTCTATCTCTGGGCACATACGCAAAAATAATAAAAGCAGGGACTCAAAGAAATATTTGTATACCCATGTCATAGCAGCATCATTCACAGTAACTAAGGGATGAGGATTCCAAGTATCCATCAACAGATGAATGGATAAACAAAATGTGGTGTTTAGCCCTGGCCAGTTTTGCTCAGTGGTCAGAGTGTCGGCCTATGGACCAGAGAGACCTGGGTTCAGTTTCTACTAGGGACATGTACCTCAGTTGCAGTTTGTCCCTGGCCCAGGTTGGGGTCGTGTGGGTGGCAACCAATCTATGTATCTCTCTCACATCGATGTTTCTCTCCCTCTCTCTTCCTCGCTCACTCTCTTCTGCTCTATCTGCAGATAAACGCAAAAAAATGTCCTCGGGTGAGGATAAAAAAAAAAAGTGGAGTTTATACACACACACAAAACACAGGAATATTATTTAGCCTTAAAAAGGAAGGAAATTCTGACACATACTACAACCTGCATGAGTTTTGAAGGCATTATGTTAAGTAAAAAAAGCCAGCTACAAAAGAACAAATACTGCATGATTTCACTTATATGTGTGAACCTAAAGTAGGCAAATTTGTAGAGAGAGAAAGTAGAATGGTAGTTTCCAGGGGTTGAAGAGAGGAGGAAATGAGGAGTTATTATTATTATTATTATTATTATTTTTGGTGGTATGTGCCCCTAGCGGAAACCGAACCCAGGACTCACTGGTCCACAGGCCGATGCTCAGCCGCCAAGCCAAACTGGCCAGGGCAGGAGTTATTATTTAATGGGTATAGAGCTTCAATTTTGCAAGATAAGATGAAAAGATTTCTGGAGATGAATGGCGGTGGTGTTTGTACAGCAATATGAATATCCTTAATGCCACTGAACACTTAAAAATGGTTTAGTAGTAGCCCTGGCCAATATGGCTCAGTAGCCCGTGGACCGAAGGGCCATGGGTTTGATTCAGGGTCAACAGCACATAACTGGGTTGCAGGTTCAATCCCCGAACCCAGTCGAAGGCATTAGAGACAATCAATCGATGTGTCTCTCTCTCCCATCAATGTTTCTGTCTGTCTTCCTCCCTCCCTATCTAAAAAAAAAAAAAAATCAATGAAAAAACATCCTCAGGTGACGATTAACAACAACAACAAAAAAATGGTTTAGTAGTAAATTTTGTGGATTTTGCCACAATTAAATTTTTTTAAAGACTATATTTTATAAAATAAATTTATGCAATTAAACAGAATAAATATAATGTCAAAAGAATTAATCAGAATATTAATGAACTAAAGTATACTCAATGTAGTATAATTTCATATTTTCGATTTTCAGATTATTACACACCACCTGATTTTCAGACTAGATCTGTACTGCCCATTATTCAAAGTTTGTTTAAAACAGCCCTGGCCGGTTTGGCTCAGCGGTTAGAGCATCGGCCTGCGGTTCGGCGAGACCTGGGTTCAGTTCCCGCTAAGGGCACGTACTCGGTTGCAGTTTGTCCCCGGCCCTGGTTGGTTGTGCGGGTGGCGACCACTCGATGTGTCCCTTTCACGACGATGTTTCTCTCTCTCTCTGTTCCTCTCTCTCCCTCCTACTCTACCTGAACAAAAAATGGAAAAATGTCCTCGGGTGAGGATGATAAAAAAAAAAAAAAAAAAAAAAGTTTGTTTAAAACAGCAGTTAAGCCTGGCTAATGTGGGTCAGTGGTTGAGCATCTACCTATGCACCAAGAGGTCTCTGGTTTGATTCCTGGTCAGCACACATGCCCAGGTTGCAGGCTTGATCCCCATTAGGGGCCGTGAAGGAGGCAGCTGATAGATGTTGATGCTTCTCATTCTCAGTGATGTTTCTCTTTCTCTCTCTCTCTCTCTCCCTCTCCCTTACTCACTCTAAAAAATCCAACAGAAAGTATTAAAAAAATAAAACAACAGTTAATCTCTAAACCATTAAAAACTATATCCAGTCCTGGCCAGTTATGTTCAGTGGTTAGAGCATGGGCCATAGACGGAAGGGTCGCAGGTTTGATCTCCAGCACTGGTAGGGGTTGTGCAGGAGGCAACCAATTGATATGTCCCTCTTACACTGATGTTTCTCTTTTTCTTTCTCTCCCTCCCTCCCTCTCTCCCTTCCACTTTATCTAGAAATCAATGGAAGACAGGCCAATGTGGCTCAGTGGATTGAGCGCTGTCCCATAGATTGAGGGCAGATTCAATTCCCTGTCAAGGCACATACCCAGGTTGTGGAGTCAATCCCCAGTAGGGGGCATGCAGGAGGCAGCCAACTGACGTTTCTCTCTCACATCGATGTTTCTCTCTCTCTAAAAAAAAATCAATGAAAACATTTCTGAAAAAATCAGAGGTAAAATATTCTCTAGTGAGGATTAACAACAAAAAAAGTATATAGTTGTCCCTTGCCACTTCGCACTTTGACTTTCGTGGCTTCAATCTATCCTGGTTTTTTCAAATATATTCATTAAAAAGTTGATCAAGACAGTAAAAATGATACAGGACGCGCTCAGTTGTCTGAGTCAATTATACACCCCTGTATTATAAATAAAATTAAAATTACTGTACGTATGGACTGTAGGTGTATGTATTTGAGCAACCCTCCCCTCCCCCCGCAAATCCTTCAACGCCAGGTGCAACCGCTCGACCACTCCTTGTATGTGGGCAATAACTTTTTTCCAAACAATCGGGTGTGGTGAAACCAAGCTAATCAGAGCATGCTGTTCACTGATTGGCTATCCTATCCTGGTCACTGATTGGCTCAGCCTCATGCAAGTTCGTTTCTGTCATACACGCTTCTACATTGCTAAGCATCGAAAGCATCTTTGCTCTTGCAAGTGTTTGCGATTTCTGAGAACTTTTATCTAAGCTCCACGATGGCTCCTAAATGTGCTGCTTCTTCTAATCCTTTTGACAATGAAACTAAGCGCTAGAGGAAGATGCTTACCATCCAGGAGAAGGTGAAACTCTTGGATATAATCAAAGATGGCAAGAAAATTGTGGAGGATGCCCATCATTACAACTTAAATGAGTCTACTGTTCACTCCATCCATAAAGATGAAAAGAACATCCGTGCAACAGCTACTATCTCTTTCAACAAGGAAGCAAAGCGCATCGTGACAAGTCATAATAAGTTCATAGTGAAAACAGAGTCTGCCCTAGCTATTTGGATTAGTGACAGCCGCAAGAAAAACATTTTGCTGGATTTGCTGGTCATCCGGGAGAAGGCGAGGCAGCTCTAACAGCGCTTTACGGCGGACGAACCTCAACTAGGATCCTCTTCTGCAACGTTCATGGATTTCACAGAGAGCAAAGGTTGGTTCGAGAAGTTCCAGAAGAGTTATCATCTGAAGAGTGTCGTTCTCCATGGAGAAGCTGCCTCTGCTGACCAGCCTGCAGTCAGGCTAGCCCGGATGCTGGGAGGAGAACGTTTCATGGATATGACCCATGATGATGTGGATGAGCTGCTGGAGACAGATTCGGATCCCTTAACTGACGAGGATCTGGTGGAAGATGACTAAGTCTGCAAGTGAGGAGGAAGTAGAGCAGCCAGAGGTTCCTGGGGGTCAGGAGGAGGAAGTTGGCCTTACACTTGAGCGTCTCTTGCAAGTCTGAGAACTATTAAGGTAGTACAGGACATGATTGGCGAATGGGATCCACAAATGATGCATGCATTGCGGTTCTGTGGTTCCGGAATGCACTTGATGGAGTGATAGAACCCTACAAAAGCCTCCTCACGCATATGAAAAAACAGCGCCAGCAACTGCCTATCACGATGTTCTTCAGCCGCACACCCAGAAACCCAATGCCTACTCCTAGTACTCCTTCAGTGGAAGACGACGACGATGCACCTGCTGAAGATACTGCACCACTTGAAGACTCTCCTACTGAGGTTGTGCCTTCAGAGGAGCAGTAACCTTGCTCTTTTTTGCTATGCAGTACATTTCATCTTCATTGCTTCATCATCAAACAAGTTGCAGTATTTTCATAGGTTAGTGGTTGTGTGTAAGAGCTGTGTGCGTGTAATTAAATGTACAATAATAATATGATATTTATAACATTTAATATGTCTTATTTTGTCTAATATATTGGGTAATATGAGTGTAATGGTGACTAAAGGGTGTTATTTCATGTCTAGAGGGCTCTAATAATGTTAAAAATGTATTTAGAAGGTCGTAAACAGGTTTTCTATGCTCTAACTGTGAAAATATTCGATTTATAAATAAAGAATCCTACTTCGCAGAAATTCATTTATCGCGGTAGTCTGGAACTGATTAACCATGATAAACTTGGGGCGACTGTATCCAATATATTTACTGTTAAAAAAATCTCATTCTTGTATACTATTTTAGAAACTGATAATCCCTCTATGATAAAGACAAAGTAATATATTAAATCACAGTTTAAAAAATTAAAATTAGGCCCTGGCCGGTTTGGCTCAGCGGTTGGAAGGTCGGCCTGCGGTACAGAGAGACCCGGGTTCGGTTCCCGCTAAGGGCTCGTACCTCGGTTGCAGTTTGTCCCCTGCCCTGGTTGGTCGTGCGGGTGGCAGCCACTCGATGTGTCCCTTCACATCGATGTTTCTCTCTCTCTCTCTCTTCCTCTCTCTCCCTCCCGCTCTATCTGAACAAAAAATGGAAAAATGTCCTCGAGTGAGGATAAAAAAAAAAAAAATTAAAATTAGGGGGCACTAGTTGGGAGGCTTTTGGGATGCCAGTAATGCTATTTATGGCTCTATGTCCAAGTTAAATAGATACAATCAGTATACGAAAGAAAATTCACTGAGATATACACCTAATATTTGCACACTTTTCTTTATGTATGTTATACTTTTTGGAAGAAATTCCACTTACGCCCAATTAAAAATAGTATATCTTTCTCTAACATACCAGTAAAAATGTACATTATTTCACCACCTACCTCGGTAGACTGCTTTCCACTATAAGACATTTTCTTGATAGCCACAACTTCATTTGTACGCACATCTCGTGCCTAACAAAACAAAGAAAGAACCATTGTAAAAATTATCAGGTTAAATCTGTGCAATACTTTCTCTGAGAATAAAAGCATTTATAAGCTAGCATGTCAAAAAGGACATCAACACTGATTTTTAAAGAACATTTAAAAAAATGGTAACTATATAACAAAATTTATCAAATTATCCAAATTAGCTGATACTTTGCAAAAAAAAAAAAGCAGGTTTATTTTTAAGTAATCTAGTTAAGAGGGAAAATATATAAGTTTGAACAGTATTATAAACAAAGAGACAAAACAAGCTTAGTATATACAAGTTTATGCTAATAAATGTTGAAATCTCAATGAAATGGATAATTTTCTAGTTAAGAATAAATTATCAAAATTGACCTACAGAAGAAAATGTGAGCAAAACAAACAATAGTGGCAGACTGAAAAGAATACCGATGAATTAATTTAAAATAGTTGAGTGGAGCCCTGGCTGGTTTTGCTCAGCAGTTAGAGCGTTGGCCTGCAGTCCAGAGAGACCCAGGTTCGGTTCCCACTAAGGGCATATACCTTGGTTGCAGTTTGTCCCCGGCCCTGGTTGGGTTGTGCGGGTGGCAGCCAGTCAATGTGTCCCTTTCATGTCGATGTTTCTCTTTCTCCCCACCCCCCCACTCCCTCTCTCCCTCCTTCCCACTCTATCTGAACAAAAAATGGGAAAATGTCCTCGGGTGAGGATAAAAAAAAAAAAAAAAGTAATAAAATAATATAGTTGAGTGGAAAACAGGTTTACCAGGGAAACTTTCCAGGACATAGGGGGAGAAAAAAGGAAAGCTATGTTATTAATTTTATGAAACCAGTACAACCCAGTAACTAAAACTTAACAAAATAAAAAGTTAGGTACCAATTTTGTTTTTAAATATAGACAAGAAAATTCTAAATAAAATTTTAAAACCAAATATTACAGGGCATTAAAAGAAACTTTCATTTGGATAAAAAATACTATAATCACAGAAATGCAAAAGATTTCAATATTAGAAAAACATTTAACAACTTACCACATTTCTTAAAAAGTCAAAGGGGAATATACATAAATATAGATACATACTCAATAAATACTAAAAATGCAGGAAGATCCCAACTCTACATGTATTCAACTGCAGAGGTCAAACTCTTAGAAAGCTCAAATTAGAAATGTAATTCATCAACATGATATATCATGCCTATTATAAACAACTACTAATCAGGATTTAAATAAGACTGCTAAAATAATATCAAAATTATTATTTACAACTGTTGTGGAAATTCTTTAAAAAGTAATAAAAATGCAACATTCACATATAGTTAACTCTTTGCAAAAGAAGAGCCAAACTCATTATGTGTTTTAAAAAATTATGGTGTATATATTGAAAAGGCACAGGAGAATAGCTGCAAAATATTTAAAATGAGTTCAGTAAAGGGATCAGAAACATCTCCAATCATCTGTGGAAGAACTCATCTTCAATCCAGACTTCAACAAATTCTCAAAAATAAAATGCTTTGCCCAGCCAGTGTGGCGCAGTGGTTGAACATCGACCCATGCATCAAGAGGTCGCCGGTTTGATTTCTGATCTGGGCATATACCCAGTGGCAAGGCATGCGGGAGGCGGCCAGTTAATGTTCTCTCTCATTGACCTTTCCATCTCTCTCCCTCTCTAAAATCAATAAAGAAAAAAAAACAGATAAAATGCTTTAAAATTAGATTATAGTGATGGTTGCAAGACTCATATTTACTAGAAAGCAATAAAATGTACACTTAAAACTGGAGGACTTACAGTATATAATTTATACCTCAAAAAATGTATGTAAAAAAAAGGACATTAGCCCTGGCTGGTTTGGCTCAGCAATAGAGCATTAGCCTGAAGACCAAGGAGTTGCAGGTTCAATTCCAGTCAAGGGCACGTACCTCAGCTGCGGTTCAGTCCCCAGCCTTGGTCTGGGTCCTGTGGGAGGCAACCAATAAATGTGTCTCTAGCGTTGATGTTTTTTTCTCTCTCTCTTTCTTTCTCCCCTACTCTATCTGAAGATAACAATGGAAAAAAGTATCCTTGGGTGAGGATTAAAAAAAAAAAAAACATATATAAATTATACCTAAATAGAGTTGTTTAAAAAATGACATTCTGCCTGGCTGGTGTAGCTCAGGGGACTGAGTGTCATCTCATGGACTGAGAGGTCCTCGTTTAATTCCTGGTTGGAGCACATGCCCAGGTTGTGGGCTTGATCCCTGATAGGGGGTCATGCAGGAGGCAGCTGACAGATGTTTTTGTCTCACATCGATGTTTCTATGTTTCTATCTCTTTCCCTTCCTATCTCTCTTAAATCTTAATAAAAACATATTTTAAAAAAAGACAACCTGTTTAGTGGATCTTGGGAACAACTAACAACTTTCCAATTTCAATTATAAGTGAATTGGTTAATGGAATCTTGCAACTCTTATTATAAAGGGTGAAGTGGATCTACTCATGTAAATCCTGCCTGAATATGAATTTTCCCAATATGTTCTCTGGTTATCTATCTGTAAGCCTCTTGATCTTTTTTTAAAAAGTTCTTAGTTTAGCCCTGGCTGGTTTGCTAAGTGGTTAGGGCATCAGCCCACAGACCAGAGAGCCTGGGGTTCAGTTCCCACTAAGGGCACGTACCTTGGTTGCAGTCTGTCCCTAGCCCTGATTGGAGTCATGTGGGTGGCAACCAGTCGATGTGTCTCTCACATCGATGTTTCTCTCTCCCTCTCTTCCTCTCTTTCTCCATCCCACTCTATCTAAAGATAAATGCAAAAATGTCCTCAGGCGAGGATAAAAGAAACAAGTTCTTAGTTTATTAATCGCCTCATGAAAAATCTGCACAATAACCACAGATAAAGTCATTAAATAATCTTTATTCCTTCTGTTGTCCAATCTCCAGCTCACTTTTTGCCAGCACCAACACTGGCCTCTGTGGTCCCTGACTTTCTTCATTCTGTTCTTGCATTCCTTTTTCTGTTTTCTTGAGGTCTTTTTCTTCTCATACAGGCTATGTCTTTTTCTTCTCATAAGGCTATACAGGCTTTTCTTCTCATACAAGCATCTATGTTTGGGTTCATTTTTCTTTGCGTAATCCAAGGAATCATTAATCACACCAAAGCCAGTTGTTTTGCCACCACCAAAACAGGTTCTGAATCCAAACACAAAGATGACATCTAGTGTGGTCTTATACATTTTGGCTAGTTTTTCCTGAATTTCTATCTTGTACTGTAGCCTTTCCAGGGTGAAGGATGTCAACAACCGTTTGTTTCTGCTGAAGTGGTCTGTTGGTCATAAACTTCCTGGTCCAGACGGTTACTATGTTGTTTGTTCATGATTACAGCCAATCTCCATATAATGAGGGAGAAAAAGGGGTCCCTTGATTTTAATCAATAGGTTTAAACAGTTATATTCTTTCTTTTGAAATAGTTTTATTGAAATATAATTTACATACCATAAAATTTACCCATTTCAATGTGTACAATTCAGTGGCTTTTAGTATATTCACAGACATATGCAATCATCACTACAGTCAATTTTAGAACTTACATTGCCTCAAAAAGAAAATTTCAAATTCTTCATTAAAAATTATTAAAATAAAATGTATGTGTATTTTACCACAGTAACTTTTTTCTCTACTAAACAAATAACTATATCCTTTAGCTATCACCCTTTTATCCCTTTTCCCCACCCCGTTAGCCCTATGCAAAACTGAAAGTGGACATTTCAAGGAATATGTATGCCGTCTTTTATGATTTGCTTCTTTTACTAAGCACAGTGTTTTTAGATTTATGACTAATGATGTTGAGTATCTTCATGTGCTTCTTGGCCATTTGTACATCTTCTCTGAAGAAATGTCAATGAAAATCCTTTGTCCATGTTCTCTCTCTCTCTCCTATTTTTTTTGTGTGGGAGGCAACCAAATTGTTGGTGGCCTTATTTTAATAAGATTTAAATTGGGTTGTCTTTTTTATTATTGAGTTGTAAGAGCTTTTTACAAGTACCTTATCAGATACATGATTTGTAAGTATTTTCTTTTACTTTGTAGGTTGTCTTTTCTCTGTTTTGAAGCACAGTTTTAAATTTTGACATAGTCTAATTTATATATTTTTGTTGTTGTTGCACATGCTTTTCATAAAAATTCTCTGCCAAAATCAAAGTCATTCAGATTTACCCTTATGTTTTCTTCTAAGAGTTTTATAGTTTTAACTGTTAGATTGAAGTCTTTGATACATTTTGAGTTAATTTTTATATATGGTGTGAGGTAAGAGTCTATTGATTTGAGAGAGAGAGAGAGAGAGAAACATTGATTGGTTGCCTCCTGCACCCACCTAACAGGGGATTGAGCTGGAAACCTGTGCCTTGATCTGGAACTGAACAGGTGCGTGGGAGGATACTCAACCAACTGAGCCACACCAGCCAGGGCAAACAGCTACACGTTTAACTGGCCTAAGATAAAGCTTGATTGAAAAGTGGGTATACTGCCTGGCCAGTGTGGCTCAGTAGTTGAGCATCAACCCAAGCACCAAGAGGTCACTGGTTCGATTCCCGGTCAAGGCACATGCCCAGGTTGTGGGCCAAATCCCCAGTGAGGGGCACGCAGGAGATAGTCAATAAATGTTCTCTCTCATTGATGTTTCTCTCTTTCCCTCTTCCTTCCTTTCTCTCTAAAATCAATAAAGAAAAACAATTATTTTAAATAAATTAATTAATTAAATAAAATAAAAGTGGGTATACTAAAAAAAAAAAAAAAAGTAATATCCTGGATTGGATTCTAGAAGAGAAAAAAACACAGTGAAAAAACTGGGAATAGCTGAATAAAGTTTAGTTAATAGCATAGTATCTGTTGATTTCTTAGTTTTCACAAATATACCATACCATTAGGAGGACTAGGTAAAAGTTATAGGGGAAAACTCTACTATTATTGCAAAGTCTAAATTTAAATAGTAAGTTAAATTTAAGTGACTATAATTTATTAAAATCCAAACTAGTAAT